TGACAACAATCTGAGTATCATCTAAGAATGAATATCATAAAAGTTATGTCAGAGCATATACTCATTTTCATTACTAAGGGTCAATAACATGCAGTAAGAAAACACAATTTCAGATCACAATGTATACAAACTCTAAACCCTAAACCCTAAAAATATATAATGCACTAACTCCCAATAAGCGCGTCCTACAACAACAATGGCGAATGGAGACTGGAACGCGAACTTGGCGACACACAAATATATTACAATGTAATATGCTTCAATGTGAGCAAGAGAATCAGAAAGATTGAAAATACAAAGTACCTTTAGCTTAATAGAAGACGCAGACAGCGAGAATGAGAGCGCAGAGAGCGAGAATGACAGCGCAGAGAGCGAGAATATGAGAGCGCAGAGAGCGGGCAAAAAACGCAGACAGAAAGAGCGCGAGGTTGAAGAAAGCGATATGTAAGAAAATATGACTTTAGATAGCGGTTCACTCCTAACCGCTATCTAAAGTGTGGTCGCTCAAGCGAAATTTACATCGCTCGAGCGACGCTACCTGCCGCAACACTTCACATTTAATATTTTTTTATTCGATAACACTGTGCATTTAATATTTTTTTATTAGGTTGTCGAACGGATGTTTAAAATCGGGTGTCAAAATATCAGTACTCTATTTACACAACTAGAACTTTTACTGTTCACGTATTAAAATAATCGATTATTTTATATTATGATCGATAATTTCGCGCAATCACCTCTCGCTCAAGCGAATAATCCTTCGCTTGAGCGAGAAAATCTTAACAAAGGGGTAATCAAGGGTCAATTCTCGCTCAAGCGAAGAAACCCATCGCTTGAGCGAGTAAATCTGTAACAAACGGTAATCTCCGGTCAATTATCGCTCAAGCAATGGGTACTTGCGCTTGAGCGATAAGTGATTAAAATATGTGGTGACTCAAGTTGCGTTATGTGGCTAACTGCGTTGGACGTTTAGCCCCATAATGCAACTAGGGTCACCACATATTTCAATCATTTCTCGCTCAAGCGAAATTATTAGTCGCTTGAGCGAGAATTGACCTGAGACTTTAGATAGCGGTTCTAAAACCAACCGCTATTAAAAATATATTTTACATAGCGATTGACGTGGAACCGCTATTATATATTAACATTTAAGAGCGGTTAAAGTTTTAACCGCTCTAAGCGAGATAATAATCGCTTGAGCGAGGAAATTTATAATCGATTATAACGTGAAATAATCGATCATAATTTTTAAATAATTGACATATAATAGTGGTCTCATTACGAGAGTTTTCATTCATTCTTGTTATATTGAGTTGTATGACTGATATGTGCATCAATAGTTAGCAAAAAGTTCCTTAAATAACCTTTGATTTCATCAAACTCAAAAGATCTTCGTTTTATCAAATGATTCAATAAGATCTTCATCACTTTCAATTAATTGAAAAACTCCTAAGTTTCATACATTGAATTGAGACATTTCTTAACTAACACAATCTAATGATGCGAAGTAGATGCACATGCATCATTGGGACATGTTCTTCTGCTATGACCGGGGGTATGACAATATGAACATTTTTTAATCCTACTTTGATGTTCTGTAATGTCCATCTCAGTTCTTATACGACTTGATTTTGGTCGCCCCTTTGAAGTTCTTTTCATTTCTGGATTTGCACACAAAGTAGGTCCTGTGTATGTTGGCCAATATTCTTCATTTCGCAATAACCCAAATTGTGTTCCGTATACCTTTGAAACTTGTTGTAAGGTATACACTGAATTAATATAGTTGTTGAAGTCATGGTGTGCATGCTTGCATGCAGCAAGAACATGTGAACAAGGCAGGTGAAATTTTTGGAATTTCCCACAGTCACACCATAACTCATCAAGGTGAACCGCAAACTTCCTCGCTGGTCGAACTTCACGCGGGTTTTGTGTTTCTTCTACTACAAATTTTGTGGTAGACTCGTCAAACGTTATGACCCCGTGCGTGTTTGTCTCGTGTTTGTGCTTCCTCTAAATTTTTGACCAAAATTTCAGAGTATACATGACCAGCATTGATCATGGCATCAATCTGCCTCCCTCTTTCAATGAAAAATTTGTTGCAACGGGTGTACGTTGCGGTGACCATGGAGCAAATAGGTAGATTTCTTGTTTTTTTCAAAACAGAGTTGATAGACTCTGCTATGTTGGTCGTCATGTGGCCCCAACGTCGCCCATTGTCCCATGCAAGTGCCCATTTTTCTCTAGGTATCTCATCCAACCAATTAGCTGCTTTTATGTCACATTGCCTCAAGATGTTGTAATAATAGTAGAATCGTGGTTCAGTCATCCCATACGCTACAACAATATTAAAAAAACATAGTTAATGTAAATAGTTGCAGTTAGCCACATAATGCAACTTGGGTCACCACATACTTCAATCACTTCTCGCTCAAACGAAAGTATCCGTCGCTTGAGCGAGACAGAACCCGAGAGTCCCCCTTGTTTGAAAACTTCGTCGCTCAAGCGATGAATTTCTCGCTCGAGCTAGTGTTGACCGAATGATGAAACGTCAAACACAGTTAGCCAAATAATATAACTTGGTTCACCACATATTAGAATCACTTGTCGCTCAAGCGTCATAACGTCTCTCGCTCAAGCGATGTGTTTTTCGCTTGAGTAACCTTAGATAGCGGTAAATAAGAACCGCTTTTAAATATATATATGCAATAGCGGTTAGGCTTTAACCGCTGTCTAATGTATGTTTATAATATCGGATTTTTTCTAACCGCTCTCTTATATCATACTTTTAAAGAGCGGGCGACTCATGGAACGCTATAATAAATGTTATTTAGATAGCGGTTGGCCAAATAACCGCTATCTAAAGTCATATATGTCAAAGTGTTCGAATATAACTGGATCATAATCGATCATAATTTTGGATAACCGATTATAACTGAGAATGATCGATTATAGTTGGAGAACATCGATCATAGTTTGTGCTAAGCGATTATAGTTTTACATAATTTTGCTCTGCATCTCTCTCGCCGGCGCACGCAAAAGAAACGTTCGATCTCTCCCGGCTCTGGTTCGTCTATGTTTAATATTGGGTTCTGTTCATTTGGTTTAGGGTTTAATATGGTTGTTGATTTCGCTTTTGAATTTTAATTTGATGGTTCATCTTGTTTGATTTCGTTTGCATTGTAAAGAAGAAGCATACAGCAACCATGGAGGTTAATGTATTCTTTGCTTTCTAATTACTCGCAGATTCTCTGTTCTCTGTTCTCTGTTTTCGTTCACTGTTGACTATTCTCAATAGTCGTAAACATAAACCATTGCTGGCAAAAGAAAAAGCTCCAAGCGCACCCACTCAGAAGCGACTTCTTCAAGTACCCAAACTGTGACCACGAAGGATTTGACTTCATTAGAGATGGGCAAGTTCACACCCGCGTGAGGAAGGTCGAGGTCGACGAAGGAATGACAAAGTTCTGTGCTAGGAAAATGATAATCGGAGAAGGAGGAGAGATGGGCAAGGGAATGAATTATTTAATAATAAAAAAACTGTGAGTTTAATATTTTTTTATTATATATGTGTCACTTTTAAGAGCGGTTAACATTTGAACCACTATCTAAACTATACTTTTAATAGCGGTTAGCTCTACAACCGTTATCTAAAACCTCGTGGTCAACACTCGCTCAAGCGAGAGACACTTTCGCTTGAGCGATACCTGATTGAAATATGTGGTGACCCAAGTTGCATTATGTGGCTAAACGTCCAACGCAGTTAGCCACATAACGCAACTTGGGTCACCACATATTTTAATCACCTCTCGCTCAGGCGAAAATATCCGCCGCTTGAGCGAGAATTGACCGGAGATTACCCCTTTGTTACAGATTTCCTCGCTCAAGCGAAGGGTTTCTTCGCTTGAGCGATAATTGACCCTAGATTATTCCAAGTAACCATAAGTAGGACTTTGACCATAATACAATCGACAAATTCAAGATGTATTCCTACAGGTAAAAGGAGTTTGTATAGATATTGGTTACATGTAACCCTAATAATAATTTACATGAACATTTTGGATTTTAATATAGAAAAGTTGACTACAATTAAAATTCAGGAATTGAAATATCTTCCTTACTATTAAAAACATATACGACCAGAAAAAAATAAAAATAAGAATTAAGTGAGAAATTTGTAGAAAAAAATATAATTAAATTTTCGAAAACTAGTTATTATTTAAAAAACATTTTTTTTTCAATGATTTTTATAGGTACAAATTTAAAAATTCACCTATTATTTTTAAATTACTAAAATATAACTATAAATTTAAATGCATGGTCATCAACTAATTATGACTTCTTATTATCTTTAAATTACTAAAATATAATTATAAATTTAAATGCATAGTCATCAACTAATTATGACTTCTTATATTTTCTTCAAATGTTTGTAACATATTATGAAAAAAAGGGTCAAAGAGTTAAATTATTCAAGTAGTTTTATAAAATGTGAGAATATATATATATATATATATATATATATATATATATATATATATATATTATTCGTCGCTAATTTATATTCTTTATTTAACATTAATATATATTTTTCCTTGTTTTGTTAAGAGACTTTTAATTTAATTTAATATATGATAAGCATAAAAAATGTGTTTATAAGATACAAACACACTTAACTTATTTATTATTTGATTTAGAGTTTTGTATTTTAGTAATTTATTTAGTTATAAAGTCACATTATTATTGTTAGTGGCTAAAAATGATTATTAAATTTAAACTCATAATATACATTAGGAAAAAGTATCTTTAACTCGGTTTGGATTAAAAATTTGTAGAAAAATATGTTTGAGGTTTATACACGTACTCGTACTTACATTAAAATAAACAGAAGTATGTTTAAACTCATAATATATATTAGGAAAATTACACTCTAATTTTCCATGCAAAATTACACTCTAATTTGTTGGTATACACGAAATCCTATCTATTGAACCATGTCCAAGTTAATGTTTGACTGCTCCTTTCAACTGCTTTTTCTTTTTCTTTCCTGGTTTCTTTTTCTGAGGGCCCCTCTTGAACACTGCTAGAACTTCAATGCTGCAACCAATGTGCAAATTAAAAGTTAATAATATTCTTTCACTTTCAGGGAAGAGTGGGGACGATGATATGCTGTTTACATTATACAACCAACCCCACAAAGTATCCTTAGTTTAGTCTGCCATGTAAAAAAGGTTATAAAAATATTTACTTTAGGGGGGAAAACTCCGGGAAGACTAGTTTATTAGGTGAGAGAATTTCAGGACTTAAGTACCACAACAAGTAGTTTATCTTACTCAATGTAAGACTCCTAACATTGCTATCCCTTTAAGGGCCAAAAGCTTTTACTCTGTCGACCCTGAGCCAGTGGTAACCTTTTTCTCTTTGAGAAGGCTTCACTTATATTCACAAGAATTCGATTTTGCATCTTAATCCAACCTATAGGTACCCTTAACACCAATTGTTAGCACTTAAGCACAAGTGTAGAGCCCAATCCAAGGTTTGTATTTTAGATGGATACATATAAGTACTTGAAGTGGGTAAAAACTATAAATAAAAGTACTGAATCACAGTAAAGATAAGTACTTGAAGTGGATAAAAACTATATCTAAGGTTTGTGTTTTAGATGGATAGAAAGTTGAAATGGAATTAGATTGTAATTCAGATAATGAGAATAAGGGAAATTTATTAACTCTGTTAGAATGTTTTTATGCAAGAATAAAAGAAACATGACAATTATTAAACTAAAATATATAAATAATTAAGAAGTAACAAAAAAATATAATACCTCTGGGTACCAGGAAAGAAATTAAAACCATGAGCTTTTTCCAAATACCATGCCTTACTAGACAACAATGACTTGCAGTCCTGTCAACAAATTTTAAAATTAACATAAAGAAAACTTAAGTTAGAGAAGAGGAAAAACACCGCCATAAAACATTAAGAGTGGTCATACACCTCTTTAAAACTTTCCCATCCACAACTTATATAAACAAGGGTTTGTGGCACTGATTGAGGGATGTTAGCTGGTGATGGTCTGTTTCCAATCTGGACTGAAGCTTCTTTAGCACGTAAAACCCATGGTCTTTTCTCTTCCTGGGATGAGTTTGTGCTGCAGTTAACTTGAATTGAATCAGAAACTTGCCTGAGGAATACTTTCATACTGATGAAACTATATAGGTTCACAAAATTCTAACCTTTCAGAGGATGACAAGGCTTTACGCTCGACTGATGATATATTCTTCAATGCATCAATAAGAGATGCATCTAATCCTTTTCTAGGAGGATCAATGACAACAACATCTGATCCCACAAGCCACAAAAAAGGATCCTGTTACTTGCAAATTGTTCATACAATCAGTTCAAACTAACACATGCAAAGATAAAAGATAAAATAATAATAATAATACTTTCTCTCGTGGACAAAAATAAATTATCCTATTCAAATAAAATCTACACATAGTATTGTTGATAAATATATATGCATACCAAAATTTAAGTTGTAGTAAATTTAGTATGTGAATTAGAAAACAATTAATTTGGAAGCTAAAACATAGTATATGTTGATGCTTCAGATATTCAGTACTAACTTTTGAAGCATCCGCATGATGCCAAGTAATACTGCTGTCAACAGTTGCAGATAAACGTTCAATGGTCTTCTCAAAAGATGCCTTCGACTCTTTGTTTATCTCAATGCATTTAACAGATCTGTAATACAACTAGCATAAATCCTTCACATGAATTATGTACACAGAATTAGAAATCAACATTTTAGAGGTTCAGAATCATCCAGGTCTTGCCTGCACTTTCTTGTGGCGGCTAATGACAACCCAATGACCCCAGCTCCAGCATATAAATCAGCAACAGAAGATTCATATGGAACATATTTCTGTAACTTCCGCAGCAAGGTATCGAAAGCCTGGAAGAATGAGGAAGCAATGCAGGAGGCAAAATCAAATCAATCCTTAATGGCACAGCGACCCTCAATGATACAAGAACACTGAATGCAAGCTAAGTGCTAATAGTACTCAAGCACATTCAGAAAAATTTCTCTCACATTTTCCCTCTGCAAAAGAATAGTTCCACAGTATGTTTGACAGGGCTCTTGAAGCTGTCAGACTTTTCCAGCAACCGTCAGATTTTGCAACAGCTGCCAGAATTCCAGTGATTTTTCTGGCAACTTTTCTGAAAAATTTCCAGTGACGGTAAAATTTTTCTAACAACTTTTCAAGTGACTGTCAGACATCTAGACAACTTCCCATGATATTTTCAAGGGGTTTTTTGCAGCAAGTTATCATTTTTTATTTACTTTTAGTTCATTAAGTACGAAGTACAAGCAATAGAAATGTAACCTGTTTTGCCAAACACACACCTCACTCATCAAACTCATAATTCTCAGACACTCTGAGATGAGACGGTGAGGCCAAAATATAACGCTCTCTAAAAGAAAATTAGTTGACTCCAGTAACTAAATATGTTTCTAACTATCCTAAAAAAATGTTTCAAAAAACATACTAAGCATCAAGGCTACCATCTAATGGACTCTAGGGAGGATAAATGCACAATCTACCTACACTTAGACAGGTTGCTTCCAAGATCGAAACTATGATCTTCTTCAGGTCACAAGGCAACCATCTTACTTTCACTAACGCTTGCCCTCTAACACATTGCAATCATATTAAAGAATTTAGATATATTTTCATATATTTCTTTATATACCAATACTATAAATATGATTGTATATATTAAGATCTATTTATTTACACATTATGGTGTGTGTGTGTTTTGTATCTAGTGTCCATGCTTTAACAGTAACTAGTTCAAAAAGATGGATTAAATACATTATCTGATTTTCATATAAAATTTGAAGATCCACTAAATTAAAATCTGTACCCTTGTGTTTGCCTGGCCAAAACTACACGGTGCCAAGGATACATCAATTCCACCAACATGTTCCCAGAAATCTCTTTCTCCAAGAAGATGTCTCCATCTATTCCCAAAAATTATCTGAGCCATCAAAAGTAAGCAATTCAAAGGAATGGATTTTTTATTAGAAAAATTGTGCACAGCCTCATTCACGAGGAAGTAATCATAAGTTGTCACGAAAAGTTAACATGAGTCGCATACAAGGAACCCCGGATAAAAATAGCTTACATTATGTAAGAACTGAAATGGATAAAAGAGTTTCATAATTTCATCATCCAAAGTAAGCAACATCAAATCATTCCAAAGATTGCCATTTTATGATATAATTTTGCAAAGACAATCTAAGTTGCAAAGTCAACATACAATCACAGAAATAATACTTAAGACTCTATGCTTGCAATTGACATTTTTACCCACGATAAAACATTAAGGGAAAACTTGTAAAGCAGTACTTTTTCACCAAAGATACAAAGATATAATCCATCATGAATCAACAATATCTCTGATTTAAATTTTCAGCATCAAATGATTAGTGTTCCAAAGCAGTTTATGAACTATGCACCCTCCTTCCTTCCCTACTGCACTTACAACACCTACCTTTCCTGTACCACAGAAAGCATACCATTTGTTTGCTCTATGAGAACAATTTAAACTCACATTGTTAGTAGAGGTCTGAAAGTTGGCCCACACAGAGTGAATTAAATGAAGCCTACTCCGTGGCCCACCATTTTTCCATAGAAACTGCACTCAATCACATGGACCATCACTTTCTATTATTAAAAGGAAGGGGCAGGGGAACTTATAAAAGTAAAAAGAAACCAGTTATGATAGAAAGGAAGCAACGAGCTCACATTTGCTAATGCATTCAGTTTGTCAAAACCAGGTGAATTTTCATTTCTTGAATTCCAAACCAATGTAATCTGAACTTTCCCTGAAACCATATAAATTAAATGAAGCAATTGCTATTTTCAATGCCATTATCAATAAGAAAATATCAATTCATTTTTCTGGCATAACAAATGAGTTAAAGAAACTAAGAAGTAAACCATTCATGTATCTTTCAGCAGCAGGAAGAGATGTATTATATGTCGTCACCGCCATCTGCAAACACCCATTAACTAGTATTTAATTTTCCGAATGCAAACACCTACAATCGTCCCCTGAATTTATCAACTATCCTATTGTTATAAACAGTTCACCTGCACATATCGCAAATCACCAGTACCTTTATCTTCAATATATGGCCCGACACCTAATTCAGTAATACCTAGATGATATTGAGGTAAAGCACATAAAACTAATTATATGCATTAATTTAAGTATAAAATCAAACACACAACGATAATAACAGAACAGGAAATACCTTGTCTTAGCAGCTCCACAGCAGCATTAATATTAGGATGATGAGCTGCATGTAGAAGACATCATACAATGGCTTAATTGACATAATTCCACGTCAACCAAGGAGAACTTTTAAAAATAAATAGAAAAAAACTACAGTTACACTTTCAAGTAACCCGTTTAATTCAATAGTAAAGACAATAATAATGATGATGATAACAATGATAGCATAATGATGAAAATAATGATAGTTGCTAAAGTAACCATGGTGATGGTGATCAAATTGATGGTAGTTGCTACGGTGAGATGGTGATGATGGAAGAGGCAATGTATATGGGTGGTGGTAACAACAACGGTGGGGGTGGGGGTGGGGGTGGGGGTGATGGTGAAAGTGACAATGACAATAGGAGTGGTGATGGTAGTGGCACTGGCAACAACTAGGATGGTGGTGACAAGGGTGGTGAGAATGTCAACTATCGCAATGGAGGTAGGGGGGGTAGTGCGAGAGTGAGAAGTAAGTCAACTATCCCATCATGTTGTCTTCTAACTCACTCTACCTTAGGACAAAAAATACATTGAACCAACATGATAGAAAAGACAATAGGATAAGAAAATCATACCTTGTAGATACACTAAACAATGGGAACTAAAAGGTACCATTTTGTTTTTATTAGATATTGTTTAGATATTATTTAGATATAGTTTGATATTGTTAAGATATTGTTAGATATTGTTAACCATAATATCAAACAATATCTTCTGTTTATTTTGTTTATTTTCGGTTACTTTTTTAGTTGTACCTCTCTATTGTGTGATTTATACACAAGGGAGATTAATTCCAAACCCTATTTCCTCTATATTAACAGTTTTAAACTTGTTTTATGTTCTAATCCATTTTGAAAACGTGGACTAAAATGGAATGAAATCTTATGAAGGCAGTCAAAGAACAACAATATACGTATAAATCATCCTTAGTAAATTTGACATATATATAAAAAGAAAAAAAAAAAACACTTCGTAAATCTTAATTGATTCTACCGTATTTAATGAAATCATCCTCTAAATAACCATTATTTAATTCAATAACTTCAAATAACCCCGTTACTTCTCGTAATATCACTCACACGGCTTTCAAATTCAGAAAGAGTATTTTCATTTGAAAAAGTTTCCTAAAATTGAAATCTTCCATCAATGAGCATGAAAGATAATGTAGAAATTGAAAGATCATTTTCTAAATCAGTCTGAGAAAATCAATTCAACTTAATTAACAAATTTTAAGTGGTATAAAATGAAAGTTCATATTTTAATGAGATTGAGAAAAATAAATGAAATTAACCAACATTTTTAACAAGAGTAAAATTGTTTCTTTGGTTTCTTGCTTATATATGAGGCCAGATGCCATATAAAATATGTATTTTTGCGTTATGGCATAACAATGTAGAGATATGGACCTTTGCATTGTGGAATGTCAACTACGTTATGAGTACCCTCTTCATAGAGCCCAATAAGAGGCTCCGTGGAAGAGCCACGCACGGCCAATTTCGCACGGCACCTCCAACCCCACTACAGCAAAGACAAAACTAAAATTTAATTGAAAGAGAATTATAGAGAGACACATACACTAAATAGACTTCATGAATTATGAAGAAAACCAACCAGTTTGCACGTGTCAAATGTGAAGTCGGAGACACCGTGTTTCCGAAAGAAATCGGTGGCGTCGTCCAATATAACCGGACAGTGAATGTTGAACTCGTGCGTGCACCCCGAACACCTGAAAAAAAAAATATAAATAAATAAACTGCATTTTGAAAGGTAAATATATGAAATAAGGTTGAGTAACTGAGGGGCGTACGATTGGAAGTGCGGACAGTGAAGTGCGCACGTTAAAGGCGGGGACTGAGGAATTGAAGAAGCGGGCGTCGGCGTCGGCGGAGGGAGGGCGGTGGAGGCAGTGGCGCGGCAAGTGAAGAGAGAGAACGATGGCAGAGCTGACACGAGACGGAGGGTCATTTTCCGGTTTGGGGAACGAAGCGGGAATGGATAATAAAATTATAAATTATCTTTATATTTATAGTTTTGAAAATATCTTCATGTTTTATGGAACTGGGCCAGAGCCCAGTAGCTGGGCTCAAGGTCAGGCCCAATATAATCCCTAAGCTTGCGCACACCAAGTATTTGATTACTTTCCTTAGTTGTTTATGAGAGGAACTAACTAACTTGTCACCGCTACGAGGATCTACGAATAGTTGAGAGAGATAGTGAAGATTCAGAAGTTCCGGAGATTTGTGTCCTATACTGGGTTCTACTGCTTCGCGACGCTCATAAGCTACGCTTACATTAGCAATACGACAAGGGCTGGGCCGATCAATTCTACGCGTTGTACCCCGCTGGTACGGAGCTTTTAACGGACACTACCAAGGTATTTTCTTTCGCATAATGTAATCAATCTGAAAATTAGAGCATGTTATTTTTACCAAAAGTGTGATTTTGGTGTTCTAAATTTGTTTCAGTTGTACAAAGCTGCACTTGGAAACCGCTTCGAAGTTGAAGAGTGAGGTCCGTTTGAGTACTGCATCATGGCGAAACACTTCGAGCGTCAAGGGAAGTCGTCATATGCTTATCATGCGGTATGATGCTCACATGCATGCATATGATGCCTAAGGGCGTATTATGAATTGCTTTAACTTTAACTTTTGCATGAATGCTACTGCAAAGAAGATTCTTATTGAATTGGGGATTTGCGTTTTTAGCGATACTTTGGGGGATACTGTTGGATAGGATTATTCTTCTCCCTTTGGGTGGAGGACAGGGGATACTATTGGATAGGATTATTCTTCTCCCTTTGTCCATTTCTTTTCTTCCATGCAAAATTACACTCTAATTTGTTGGTATACACGAAATCCTATATATTGAACCATGTCCAAGTTAATGTTTGACTGCTCCTTTCAACTGCTTTTTCTTTTTCTTTCCTGGTTTCTTTTTCTGAGGGCCCCTCTTGAACACTGCTAGAACTTCAATGCTGCAACCAATGTGCAAATTAAAAGTTAATAATATTCTTTCACTTTCAGGGAAGAGTGGGGACAATGATATGCTGTTTACATTATACAACCAACCCCACAAAGTATATCCTTAGTTTAGTCTGCCATGTAAAAAAGGTTATAAAAATATTTACTTTAGGGGGGAAAACTCCGGGAAGAGTTGAACATATTTAAATTAGATATCATGTCATGAATTATATATGCAGCAGGCATTTATGGAGATGGATAATTACTCTGTCTTCAAATCATGCTGTAATTTTAGAGTACAGACATAAGCACGTTGATATAGCAACTTGCTAGGAATCATGTCTATCACGTAGCATGTCAAAATGTATGTTGCACGAAGATGTTGAAATATGACATGTTTGACTTTTTTAGGACTTAAGCACAAGATGAGAGCTCAAACCAAAAGAATATTATTAACTTATCGCTCAAGCGAAAATACCCGTCGCTTGAGCGAGAATTGACCGGAGATTACCCCTTTGTTACAGATTTCCTCGCTCAAGCGAAGGGTTTCTTCGCTTGAGCGAGAATTGACCCTAGATTATTCCAAGTAACCATAAGTAGGACTTTGACCATAATACAATCGACAAATTCAAGATGTATTCCTACAGGTAAAAGGAGTTTGTATAGATATTGGTTACATGTAACCCTAATAATAATTTACATGAACATTTTGGATTTTAATATAGAAAAGTTGACTACAATTAAAATTCAGGAATTGAAATATCTTCCTTACTATTAAAAACATATTCGACCAGAAAAAAATAAAAATAAGAATTAAGTGAGAAATTTGTAGAAAAAAATATAATTTAGATTTTAGAAAAATAGTTATTATTTAAACAGTATTTTTTTTCGTTGATTTTTATAGGTACAAATTTAAAAATTCACCTATTATCTTTAAATTACTAAAATATAATTATAAATTTAAATGCATAGTCATCAACTAATTATGACTTCTTATTATCTTTAAATTACTAAAATATAATTATAATTTTAAATGCATAGTCATCAACTAAATATGACTTCTTATATTTTCTTCAAATGTTTGTAACATATTATGAAAAAAAGGGTCAAAGAGTTAAATTATTCAAGTGGTTTTATAAAATGTGAGAATATATATATATATATATATATATATATATATATATATATATATATTATTACGTCGCTAATTTATATTCTTTATTTAACATTAATATATATTTTTCCTTGTTTTGTTAAGAGACTTTTAATTTAATTTAATATATGATAAGCATAAAAAATGTGTTTATAAGATACAAACACACTTAACTTATTTATTATTTGATTTCGAGTTTTGTATTTTAGTAATTTATTTAGTTATAAAGTCACATTATTATTGTTAGTGGCTAAAAATGATTATTAAATTTAAACTCATAATATACATTAGGAAAAAGTATCTTTAACTCGGTTTGGATTAAAAATTTGTAGAAAAATATGTTTGAGGTTTATACACATACTTGTACTTACATTAAAATAAACAGAAGTATGTTTAAACTCATAATATATATTAGGAAAATTACACTCTAATTTTCCATGCAAAATTACACTCTAATTTGTTGGTATACACGAAATCCTATCTATTGAACCATGTCCAAGTTAATGTTTGACTGCTCCTTTCAACTGCTTTTTCTTTTTCTTTCCTGGTTTCTTTTTCTGAGGGCCCCTCTTGAACACTGCTAGAACTTCAATGCTGCAACCAATGTGCAAATTAAAAGTTAATAATATTCTTTCACTTTCAGGGAAGAGTGGGGACGATGATATGCTGTTTACATTATACAACCAACCCCACAAAGTATCCTTAGTTTAGTCTGCCATGTAAAAAAGGTTATAAAAATATTTACTTTAGGGGGGAAAACTCCGGGAAGACTAGTTTATTAGGTGAGAGAATCTCAGGACTTAAGTACCACAACAAGTAGTTTATCTTACTCAATGTAAGACTCCTAACATTGCTATCCCTTTAAGGGCCAAAAGCTTTTACTCTGTCGACCCTGAGTCAGTGGTAACCTTTTTCTCTTTGAGAAGGCTTCACTTATATTCACAAGAATTCGATTTTGCATCTTAATCCAACCTATAGGTACCCTTAACACCAATTGTTAGCACTTAAGCACAAGTGTAGAGCCCAATCCAAGGTTTGTATTTTAGATGGATACATATAAGTACTTGAAGTGGGTAAAAACTATAAATAAAAGTACTGAATCACAGTAAAGATAAGTACTTGAAGTGGATAAAAACTATATCTAAGGTTTGTGTTTTAGATGGATAGAAAGTTGAAATGGAATTAGATTGTAATTCAGATAATGAGAATAAGGGAAATTTATTAACTCTGTTAGAATGTTTTTATTAAAGAATAAAAGAAACATGACAATTATTAAACTAAAATATATAAATAATTAAGAAGTAACAAAAAAATATAATACCTCTGGGTACCAGGAAAGAAATTAAAACCATGAGCTTTTTCCAAATACCATGCCTTACTAGACAACAATGACTTGCAGTCCTGTCAACAAATTTTAAAATTAACATAAAGAAAACTTAAGTTAGAGAAGAGGAAAAACACCGCCATAAAACATTAAGAGTGGTCATACACCTCTTTAAAACTTTCCCATCCACAACTTATATAAACAAGGGTTTGTGGCACTGATTGAGGGATGTTAGCTGGTGATGGTCTGTTTCCAATCTGGACTGAAGCTTCTTTAGCACGTAAAACCCATGGTCTTTTCTCTTCCTGGGATGAGTTTGTGCTGCAGTTAACTTGAATTGAATCAGAAACTTGCCTGAGGAATACTTTCATACTGATGAAACTATATAGGTTCACAAAATTCTAACCTTTCAGAGGATGACAAGGCTTTACGCTCGACTGATGATATATTCTTCAATGCATCAATAAGAGATGCATCTAATCCTTTTCTAGGAGGATCAATGACAACAACATCTGATCCCACAAGCCACAAAAAAGGATCCTGTTACTTGCAAATTGTTCATACAATCAGTTCAAACTAACACATGCAAAGATAAAAGATAAAATAATAATAATAATACTTTCTCTCGTGGACAAAAATAAATTATCCTATTCAAATAAAATCTACACATAGTATTGTTGATAAATATACATGCATACCAAAATTTAAGTTGTAGTAAATTTAGTATGTGAATTAGAAAACAATTAATTTGGAAGCTAAAACATAGTATATGTTGATGCTTCAGATATTCAGTACTAACTTTTGAAGCATCCGCATGATGCCAAGTAATACTGCTGTCAACAGTTGCAGATAAACGTTCAATGGTCTTCTCAAAAGATGCCTTCGACTCTTTGTTTATCTCAATGCATTTAACAGATCTGTAATACAACTAGCATAAATCCTTCACATGAATTATGTACACAGAATTAGAAATCAACATTTTAGAGGTTCAGAATCATCCAGGTCTTGCCTGCACTTTCTTGTGGCGGCTAATGACAACCCAATGACCCCAGCTCCAGCATATAAATCAGCAACAGAAGATTCATATGGAACATATTTCTGTAACTTCCGCAGCAAGGTATCGAAAGCCTGGAAGAATGAGGAAGCAATGCAGGAGGCAAAATCAAATCAATCCTTAATGACACAGCGACCCTCAATGATACAAGAACACTGAATGCAAGCTAAGTGCTAATAGTACTCAAGCACATTCAGAAAAATTTCTCTCACATTTTCCCTCTGCAAAAGAATAGTTCCACAGTATGTTTGACAGGGCTCTTGAAGCTGTCAGACTTTTCCAGCAACCGTCAGATTTTGCAACAGTTGCCAGAATTCCAGTGATTTTTCTGGCAACTTTTCTGAAAAATTTCCAGTGACGGTAAAATTTTTCTAACAACTTTTCAAGTGACTGTCAGACATCCAGACAACTTCCCATGATATTTTCAAGGGTTTTTTGCAGCAAGTTATCATTTTTTATTTACTTTTAGTTCATTAAGTACGAAGTACAAGCAGTAGAAATGTAACCTGTTTTGCCAAACACACACCTCACTCATCAAACTCATAATTCTCAGACACTCTGAGATGAGACGGTGAGGCCAAAATATAACGCTCTCTAAAAGAAAATTAGTTGACTCCAGTAACTAAATATGTTTCTAACTATCCTAAAAAAATGTTTCAAAAAACATACTAAGCATCAAGGCTACCATCTAATGGACTCTGGGGAGGATAAATGCACAATCTACCTACACTTAGACAGGTTGCTTCCAAGATCGAAACTATGATCTTCTTCAGGTCACAAGGCAACCATCTTACTTTCACTAACGCTTGCCCTCTAACACATTGCAATCATATTAAAGAATTTAAATATATTTTCATATATTTCTTTATATACCAATACTATAAATATGATTGTATATATTAAGATCTATTTATTTACACATTATGGTGTGTGTGTTTTGTATCTAGTGTCCATGCTTTAACAGTAACTAGTTCAAAAAGATGGATTAAATACATTATCTGATTTTCATATAAAATTTGAAGATCCACTAAATTAAAATTTGTACCCTTGTGTTTGCCTGGCCAAAACTACACGGTGCCAAGGATACATCAATTCCACCAACATGTTCCCAGAAATCTCTTTCTCCAAGAAGATGTCTCCATCTATTCCCAAAAATTATCTGAGCCATCAAAAGTAAGCAATTCAAAGGAATGGATTTTTTTATTAGAAAAATTGTGCACAGCCTCATTCACGAGGAAGTAATCATAAGTTGTCACGAAAAGTTAACATGAGTCGCATACAAGGAACCCCAGATAAAAATAGCTTACATTATGTAAGAACTGAAATGGATAAGAGAGTTTCATAATTTCATCATCCAAAGCAGTTTATGAACTATGCACCCTCCTTCCTTCCCTACTGCACTTACAACACCTACCTTTCCTGTACCACAGAAAGCATACCATTTGTTTGCTCTATGAGAACAATTTAAACTCACATTGTTAGTAGAGGTCTGAAAGTTGGCCCACACAGAGTGAATTAAATGAAGCCTACTCCGTGGCCCACCATTTTTCCATAGAAACTGCACTCAATCACATGGACCATCACTTTCTATTATTAAAAGGAAGGGGCAGGGGAACTTATAAAAGTAAAAAGAAACCAGTTATGATAGAAAGGAAGCAACGAGCTCACATTTGCTAATGCATTCAGTTTGTATCTGAACCAATGTAATTTGAACTTTCCCTGAAACCATATAAATTAAATGAAGCAATTGCTATTTTCAATGCCATTATCAATAAGAAAATATCAATTCATTTTTCTGGCGTAACAAATGAGTTAAAGAAACTAAGAAGTAAACCATTCATGTATCTTTCAGCAGCAGGAAGAGATGTATTATATGTCGTCACCGCCATCTGCAAACACCCATTAACTAGTATTTAATTTTCCGAATGCAAACACCTACAATCGTCCCCTGAATTTATCAACTATCCTATTGTTATAAACAGTTCACCTGCACATATCGCAAATCACCAGTACCTTTATCTTCAATATATGGCCCGACACCTAATTCAGTAATACCTAGATGATATTGAGGTAAAGCACATAAAACTAATTATATGCATTAATTTAAGTATAAAATCAAACACACAGCGATAATAACAGAACAGGAAATACCTTGTCTTAGCAGCTCCACAACAGCATTAATATTAGGATGATGGGCTGCATGTAGAAGACATCATACAATGGCTTAATTCCACGTCAACCAAGGAGAACTTTTAAAAATAAATAGAAAAAAACTACAGTTACACTTTCAAGTAACCCGTTTAATTCAATAGTAAAGACAATAATAATGATGATGATAACAATGATAGCATAATGATGAAAATAATGATAGTTGCTAAAGTAACCATGGTGATGGTGATCAAATTGATGGTAGTTGCTACGGTGAGATGGTGATGATGGAAGAGGCAATGTATATGGGTGGTGGTAACAACATCGGTGGGGGTGGGGGTGGGGGTGATGGTGAAAGTGACAATGACAATACGAGTGGTGATGGTAGTGGCACTGGCAACAACTAGGATGGTGGTGACAAGGGTGGTGAGAATGTCAACTATCGCAATGGAGGTAGGGGGGTAGTGTGAGAGTGAGAAGTAAGTCAACTATCCCATCATGTTGTCTTCTAACTCACTCTACCTTAGGACCAAAAATACATTGAACCAACATGATAGAAAAGACAATAGGATAAGAAAATCATACCTTGTAGATACACTAAACAATGGGAAACAGACCATCACCAGCTAACATCCCTCAATCAGTGCCACAAACCCTTGTTTATATAAGTTGTGAATGGGAAAGTTTTAAAGAGGTGTATGACCACTCTTAATGTTTTATGGCGGTGTTTTTCCTCTTCTCTAACTTAAGTTTTCTTTATGTTAATTTTAAAATTTGTTGACAGGACTGCAAGTCATTGTTGTCTAGTAAGGCATGGTATTTGGAAAAAGCTCATGGTTTTAATTTCTTTCCTAGTACCCAGAGGTATTATATTTTTTTGTAGCAGTCTAGAGTGGACAAAGTTTACCATTGCCATTTGTGAGGCAGGAAGGGGGAAGTCGTTTGTACTGGGAGGAAATGGGAATTGTGATTCATCATTTAATGTGTTGAAAGAATATTTAAATTTGAATATAGTTTTGCATTATTTTTGTTTCTTATTCATCATGCTTTTGATCGAAATAATACAAAATTGAGGAATAACTTATACTTGACCATTCAATCTCAATTAATAGGAAAGCTTCAATTCCTCTTTTCTCTGCTCTTAGATTTTGCCAGGTGAGGAAAGACTGCTAGAATGTTGTGTGACAGAGGACGACTCGCTCTTCTTCTTCGTGGATGGACTCCAACATTGGGCGAAGCAAGAGCTACAACGTCGGGGTGTCAAGTCCGTTGATGATGTGATTGCCGCAGCCGAGTCACTAATTGAGTTCCGCCCATCATCATCATCTTCCGATGCCACCAAGAAGGACAAGAAGTACTCCGCCAAAGGTGGGGGAGACAAAAGGGACAACAAGAACCGAGACTCTCGAGACCAGCGACGAGCGCCTGCCAAGGAGGATCGAAACTTCGGACGCCGCAGCTATGAGGAGAAGAAACAGGCGTTTGTCCCTAAGGGAGGTTGCTTCGTGTGCAAAGGGTCACATGCCATGAAGGATTGTCCAAAGCTAGGGTCCCTCTCAGCCATCATGGAGCAGTCCGAGACTGAGACTAAGGAGGCAGAGCCAACAATGATAGGTTCGTTGCAAGTCCTCAATGCCCTCAATACCAAGCCCGAGCGCATCACGTCTAGCAAGGGGCTCATGTACGTGGAAGCACATATTAACGGGACTCCGACAAAGGCTCTGATGGATATAGGAGCCAGTCACAACTTCATTACCAAGGAGGAAGCCGCAAGGTTAGGACTATCTTGGTCCGAGAAAAATGGGTGGCTAAAGACTGTCAATGCCAATGCTCGTCGACTCGACGGAATTGCTAGCAATGTGAGTCTGCGCCTAGGGACATGGCAAGGACGCATGAATTTCTCAATAGCACCCATGGATGACTTCAAGGTGGTACTCGGCATGGACTTCTTACGTCAGGTAACAGCTATACCAATGCCATCCTTTAGTACTGTTTGTATATTGGAGAAGGGCTCTCCATGCATGGTTCCAACTATAGAAGGGGACAACAAGAGTGCTAGCAAGCAACTCTCCGCGATGCAGCTTGCCAAGGGGGCAAAGCGAGGAGAGCCAACCTACTTGGCAGTACTAAAGGAGGACAACCATGAGGAGGAATCCCCGAAGGTGCCCTCCCTTATCCGAGGAGTCCTTGAGGAGAACAAGGACGTCATGCCTGCCGAGTTGCCAAGCAAGCTTCCACCAAGGTGAGGGGTGGATCACAAGATTGAGTTGGAGCCAGGCACCAAGCCACCAGCCATGTCCCCCTACCGAATGTCTCCCCCTGAGCTCGAGGAATTGAGGAGGCAGCTCAAGGAGCTCACAGAGACCGGGAAAATTCGTCCAAGCAAGGCCCCCTATGGCGCACCGGTACTCTTTCAGAAGAAGCATGATGGAACACTACGCATGTGCGTAGATTACCGGGCACTCAACAAGGTAACTATCAAAAATCGCTATCACATCCCTTTGATTGCCGATTTATTTGATCGACTTGGGGGAGCCCGAGTATACACCAAGATGGATTTACAGAAGGGTTACTACCAAGTTCGCATCGCCGAGGGAGACGAACCCAAGACCACGTGCATTATGCGGTATGGGTCATACGAATGGTTAGTGATGCCCTTCGGGCTCACAAATGCCCCAACTACATTCTGCACGCTCATGAACGAGATATTCCATCCGTACTTGGATCAGTTCGTGGTGGTCTACTTGGATGACATCGTTATATATAGCAACTCGCTCGAGGAGCACGCTGACCACTTACGTACCGTATTCAAGGTACTTCGAGAGAATGAGCTTTTTGTAAAGGAGTCCAAGTGCATCTTTGCCCAAGAAGAGGTGAATTTCTTGGGGCATGTTATATGCCATGGAAGTATCCAGATGGACGGGGCCAAGGTGAAGGCAATCATGGAATGGGAAGCTCCCACCAAAGTTACCGAGTTACGATCCTTCTTAAGGTTGGTCAACTATTATCGGCGGTTCATACAAGGGTACTCGGCGAGGGCCGCACCGCTTACCGACATGCTCAAGAAGGGGAAGCCATGGGAATGGACCAACGAGTGTCAAAGAGCATTTGAGGATCTTAAGGCCGCTGTGAGTCAGGAGCCTGTCTTAGCATTACCTGACTTCACCAAGCCATTTGAGGTTCACACTGATGCCTCTGACTTTGCTATTGGGGGAGTATTGATGCAAGAGAGGCACCTGATAGCGTTTGAAATCCGAAAGTTGAATGACACCGAGCGACGCTATACGGTGCAAGAAAAAAAGATGACAGCCATCATCCACTGCTTGAGGGTGTGGCGTCACTACTTGCTAGGGGCGCACTTCAACATAAAGACAGACAACGTCGCCACTAGCTACTTCCAGACCCAGAAGAAACTCTCCCCAAAGCAAGCCCGATGGCAAGACTTTTTGGCCGAGTTTGACTACTCATTAGAATATAAATCGGGGAAGGCTAACGTGGTGGCTGATGCTCTAAGCCGCAAGGCTGAACTTGCCGCAATCAGCAAAGCCGATGGGGATGTCCTTACCCGTATTCGAGAAGGGCTCGAACGGGACCCCGTCACGAAGGCACTCATGGGGGTCGCAAAGGAAGGCAAGACTCAACGATTTTGGGTAGAGGACGGTCTACTCTATGCAAAAGGGCAACGTTAGGTTGTGCCAAAGTGGGATGGACTACGAAGATATCTCATGAAGGAGTGCCATGATACCAAGTGGGCAGGCCACCCAGGGCAACGGAGGACGATAGCCTTACTCGAGTCCAACTACTTTTGGCCCCAACTGAAGGACGATGTGGAAACATATGTGAGGACCTGTCTCGTGTGCCAACAAGACAAGGTCGAAAACAGGCATCCAGCGGAACTACTCGAGCCATTATCGATACCCGCAGGACCATGGGAGTCGATCACGCTGGATTTCATTAGCGCCCTACCACAGTCCGAGGGATACGGGTCAATTATGGTCGTGGTGGATCGATTCTCAAAGTATGGGACCTTTATCCCATGCACTAAGGACTGTACTGCCGAGGAGGCCGCCTGCGGATTTTTCAAGAATGTGGTCAAGCACTGGGGACTACCAAGGAGCATTGTCAGTGATAGGGATTCGCGGTTCACTGGGCGACTTTGGACGGAACTTTTCAAGCTCCTAGGTACTAAGCTTAACTTCTCAACAAGCTCCCACCCCCAGACCGACGGGCAAACGGAGAGGGTAAATGCGCTACTAGAGTGCTATCTACGACACTTTGTAAGCGCTAACCAGAGGGACTGGGCCAAGCTGCTTGATGTGGCCCAATTTTCCTATAACTTGCAGAGGAGTGAATCAACTAGGCGAAGCCCATTTGAGGTGGTCACAGGACGACAACCATTGACTTCTCACACCATTGACATACCTACAAAGGATGGGAAGAGTCCCGGGGCAGAGAAGATGATCAAAACTTGGGAGGAACAGGCAGACTTAGCACGCTCATACTTGGAGAGGGCCCGTAAAAGAATGAAGAAATGGGCCGATACCAAGAGGCATCCGCGAGAGTTCTCCCAAGGCGACCTAGTCTTTGTGAAGCTATTGCCTCAACAATTCAAGACCTTTCGGAGCTTGCACAAGGGACTAGTACGAAGATATGAGGGACCGTTCCCGGTGATCAAGAAGGTAGGGACTGTTGCTTACCGGGTCAATCTCCCACCAACACTCAAGATTCATCCAGTCTTCCACATGAGCATGATAAAACCTTACAAGAAGGATGTGGAAGACCAAAGCCGAGGGCAATCACAGAGAGCACCACCCCTTACAACCAAGTCTTTCGACAAGGAAGTGGATGAGGTGCTCACATCAGACATCGTAAGGAGACGAGGGGTACCGCCAAAGAAGCGGTACTTAATCAAGTGGAAGGGGCTCCCAGTGTCCGAAGCATCATGGGAATTCGAGGAGGACTTATGGCAATTTCGCGACATCCTCAAAGATTATGAGGCAACGAGGACGACGCCACAATAGGTGGGGGAGAATGTGACGCCCCGCATCACTCCTCGCATGCACACGAGCAAGAACGAGTCTTGCCCGCCTTTGTTTTCGCACTAAGCCTAGTTACTTGTATAAAGAAGCCTTTAGAAAGGCCTAGACTTGACTGGAAGCTTCTAGAAGGCTCCAGAATTATGTAGATATTTGTAGAAGGGACAAGAACATCCTAGAACCTTGTAAAGACTTGTAGAAAGGACAAGAATCATCTTGAGTTGTGTAGAAGGTGTTAGAAAAGTAGGCTGAGATCAAGAGGGGGGGTGAATTGATCTTTAAAAGTTTTTCGCAAATAACATATTATCTAATTCAAAAATTAAGATTTCAGATCTGTTCTTGAATCACAAAGCAATCAATCAATATAAACGCAACAACAAAATTAAAGGAGAGAAAGGTTAAGAAAGATATCACTGGTGTTTTATACTGGTTCACCCAATACCAGGGCTACGTCCAATCTCCAGCCAAATTTCAGCTGGGTTCCACTAGATCAAATGTCTTACAGATTACAATCTTACACTTAATCTACCACAAGAACCAAATTCCAGTTCCTGCACTCAACCTCTCACCAAGAATCAAATTCCAGTTCTTGATAAATTCTACAACCAAATTCAAGCTGCAGAGAAACCAGTGCCCAAATTCCAGGCATCAAACAATACAAAAAGAATGTAAAGAAATGAAAAAGAAGAAACTAGAATGCTCAAACCAGTTTATGCAATTCTGCTGTAAGTGTTTCTTCTTCAAAAGAAATCAAGTTGCCTCAAGAAATATTTTCAAAGAACTTCTCAAAAACTGATGCGAATCTTTCTTGAAAAGAGTGCTAAAGTTTGCTTGATTGATTGCTCAAGGATGTGTAAAAACTGATATGTAAAAAGTTCAA